TGCTCATCACAAAGCCAGTGAGTGGTTTGAATCCACCAGCTGCTATGTGAGAGAGAAATGGGCAGTCTCCCCTTGTACCTTCAGAAACCCAGTGGAGGGTCACCTCACTGGGAGTCAGAACGTTCTAGGTTTGCCATTCTGGAGGAACTCAACCAGCTGGGGGATAGTGATTTCAGAAGCCTATTTTTTCCTCCTTAAAAAGATGTACAAATTATAAACAAAGCTACAAATTCTTCTTGAAGTAACTCAATTCCACAAACAGATCTTCCATCACATAGTTTCAAAAGATACAAATATGAGCACTAGCAAATCTTAGACTACAGAGACTGTAACAACAAATCACACCAACTGCCTTTTATACAAAGAAAAGAGAGCAGAGCTGACACGCTCCAAAGTCATTTCTTGCAACGTCTGGTGCATCAGTGAGGCTGGTTGGCAGAAGTAAAGAGAGTATGGTAGCAAATCACCAGGCATCAAAACTCTACCTCGCCTGTCTCCCGTGATGAAGATCTAGATCTTCCAGGGCAAGTCAGAATTTTCCCTTAAACCCTGGGCAGGTAATAAAAGCTCGCTGGTTACCCCTGAGCTTCACAGTACTTATAGCTTTATTGTATTTATAACACTGGTGACAAGCTTGCATTCAATCAGCCAGCATCCTTGGCCCTCATCTCTGCCTGGCAGAACAAAGCAGGCTGTCTCTCCTAAACCCCACGGACTCTCACTTCAGTGTGAGCATAACAGAGCTGGCTGGTTTTAGACAATCTCATACTTCCAGCAACAAGACAAAGGAAGTGACTCAGCCTAAACCCCCAAGGCAAGGCAATGGGGCGGAAACAAACTCCACCTCAGGCAGCTTCAGTGCACATTTCCTTAAGACATCAGCCCTGTTTCCCTTCACTGTCCTAGGTTATTTCTGTGGTGATTCTGTTTTGTTATTTTAAAATGATGCATAGGCGATGAGAACTTTTCAAACAGAGATAATCTCCATCAAATCATACTAATGCATAAAATACATGACCTCCATTTGTGTTGCAATAAAATTTCATACTAAAAAAATTTTTGCCATTTTAGGCATTATATTCAAAACATCCAAAGGATAGACCGGCATATTAAAGAAAAACCTATAACCCTAATATGGGAAATAATTATACTCTATAAAGGTTTTATCTAAATCATGGTCTTGCATTCAGCCAGCCACTTGCTTTGCCTGGTTAAGGGAAATTTCCTCTTCCTCTCTCTCCACTCTTCAGTCTGCTCAAACAAACTTCTCTTTTCTCTTATCACTACTGAACATCTAAGTTCCAGGTGTCAGATGGATCTTGGCTGAAAGCAGAGAATATCAGAAAGTTTACCTGTGTTTTATTGACTATGCCAAGGCATTCAACTGTGTGGATCATAAAAAATGATGAGTAACATTATAAAAAACAGGAATTGCAGAACATTTAATTGTGCACGTGTAGATCAAGAAGCAGTCACCCAAACAGAACAAGGAGCTACTGTATGGTTTAAAATCAAGGAAGGTGTGTGTCAGGATTTTCTCTGTTCACTACAGATAACCCAAGAAACAGCACTTGAAGAACACAGCATCAGGATAGGTGGGAGACTCATCAACAGCCAGGAGTATGCAGATGACACAAGCTTGCTGGCTGAAAGCCAAGAGGACTTGGAGCACATGCTGATGAAGATGGGGTGCAGCTTTCATTATGGATCAATGTCAACATCTAAAAAACATCCTGACAATAATTAAGCAACATCATGGTAACTACAGAAAAGACTCAATTTGTCAAGGACTTAACTTTTCTTGAAGCAGTAATCAATGCCATGGAAGAAACACTCAAAAACGTAAACATACTACATTGGGCAAATATGCTACAAAGGACCTTTTTAAAGTGTTAAGCAAAGATGTCACTTTGAAGATTAAGGTGCACCTGACCCAAGCCAGGGTATTTTTAATCCCTCATTCACTCACACCAAAAGGTAGATAATGCATAAGAATAAACTTTAATGAAAAAGTTAGATAATGAATAAGATAATAAACAAGAACAGGTGTATTTGAATTATGATGTTGGCAAGTAGTATTAAATATACCATTAGCTGTGCGGCAATGAAGGAGTGAAAGCCCAGAATCCCTGTGAATGTTCATTGAAACTAATAAAAAAAAATTTAAAAAAATGAATATACCATTAGCTTCCACAAGAAGGAAAAAATTATCAGAGAAGTATAGTCAAAACACCTCTCAGAAGTTAGGGTGGTTAAGACTTCATTTCACAGATTTTGAGCATGTTATCAGAACAGGCTAGTCCAGGGAGAAGGACATCATGCTGGCTAAAGCAGATATGGATCATACCAAATTACGGATCACACTATGGAAGAAACAGGAATTCCAGGACATTTCATTGTGAGCGTGCAGACCTGTGCATAGGTTAAGAAGCAGTTGTTCCAACAGGACAAGAGGATCCTGTGTGCTAAGAAGACCCTCCGCGAGAAAGGCAGACGTGGTGGCTGTGACAAAGGGCTCACACAGAGTGGTGACTGTGCAGGTGGCCCAGAGCCAGCAGCATTTGGTCCTACTGAATGCAGGGCCACTCTGAGTTGGAACAGGCTCAGGGACACCTAACAACAGCAAAGGGCTCCAAAAAGGAAAATAAAAGTTCATGTGCAATCTGTGAGACGGTATGGAACTATGAACACATGAAAGGGCTCGGGCACTGCTAGGTCAAGACCATAGCAAAAACTTTGAAACTTCAATGTTGCAAAGCATGTGGAAAAGCATGTTCTCCAAACAGAGCTTCTTGTCTACAGCAAAAGAACCTAATTTCAAGCATCCGTGACAATGAAAATGCAGGCTCCTGTCCACCTGGATTTCCCTGTGATACATTTATCCTGTTTCCAAAACTGCACAGAAACTCTGCACTATTGTTTAAGAATGCATTATTTGGCATGGTCTATCAGGAACAGATCTTTTAAACATTCAAGTAACATTTTCCACCAAAAGCCCCTTTTATTGTTTTTATGTGCCGTTGAGTTGTCTGAGACTAATAGCGACTCAATGTGCAACAGCCCTACACCCTTCTCTATCCTGTGCCAATCTTACTCTGACACATCCACTCCCACTACCCCAGTCACTGAATTAATGCATGTCATTGAAGGTCGTCCTCTCTTGCGCTGTCCCTCCACCCTCTCAGGCATGAGGACCCTCTCCAAGGACTGGTAACCTACTTGCAACATGTCCAAAGTCAGTCAGATGCTTCAGAATCCTTCCAAGGAACAGACCAGTCTCACCCTCTCCAGGGTGAACCTGTTTGTTCTCCTAGCAGTCCATGGTATATTAAAAACTCTTCTCCAGCACCACAGCTCAAAGGCATCAACTCTCCTTCTATCATCCTTAGTCATTGTCCAGCTCTCTGAAGCATAGCAAATAATTGCAGACTATGGCCTGGATCAGGCGCACCTTAGTCACCAGACTGATATCATTGCTTTTCAGTACTTCGGAGAGGTCTCTGACAGCTGACTTTCCCCATGCAATTCATCTTTTGGTTTCCTGGCTGCTGGTACCAAGAATGTTGAATTGTGGGGCCAAGCAAACTGAAGCTGTCAACAATCTCAATCTCTTCACCATCTATCATGATGCTGCCAATTGGCCCAGTGGTGAGAATCTTTGTTTTCTTTGTGTTGAGCTTCAATCCATATTGAAGGCTGCAGTCCTTGACCTTCAGCAAGCGCTTCAGGTCCTCCTCAGTTTCAGTAAGTAGGGTTGTGTCATCTGCTTAATGCAGGTTTTAGTCATGTTATTACAAGAGGCCAGTCCCTGGAGAAGGACATTGTGTTTGAGAAGTAGAAGGCTGATGAAAAAGACCTTGAAGGAGGTGGGCTGGCACAGTGACTGTGACCTTGAGCTGGTGAGGTTGGCACAGGACTGGACAGGGCTCTATCATGTTACACACAAGGACACTGTGGGCTGGAGAGGACTCAAATGCAACTAACAACAACAACAACGACAAGAGTTCTGCTCAAGGGATAAATCATGAGAAAGGAAGACAAATTATCTCCTCTCTCACCATATGCTGGAAGCAGGAGTGACAGTCACTTCCTAACATGCCCCTGGAAACTCCATGAACTTCGATAAACGACAAGTTATAGAAAGGCTTCAGGTTTTTGTTCACAGGGTCGCTATGAGTCGTGCTTGACTTGACAGCAATCAACGACGTCACTATATGACAAGTTATTTGGCATACTATTTCTGACATGTTCCAGCTGTCACGTGTAATGAAAGCACACTTTTAAAAATTTATTTTATTTTATGGTGTGTACCGTCAAATTGGATCTGACTGGTACAGGAGGCGATTTTTCCTCCTTCAGCAGAGCATCTGGTGGATTTGAACAGTGCACCTCTGGGATTGCAGTGCAGTTTCCTGCCACTAGGCCACCAGAGCTCGCCGAAAGCACCCTCTTTCCCCCCTCCCCCCTTAAACTACGGTGATGTTTCTTAAAAAAGACCAGCTTGATTTCTAAAAGTATTATATTTTAGGGCATTATTTTTATCGTAGGCGTACGCAATGAGGGTTGCAGAGTGGATTATATTTGGGGGTAGGGGGTGGGGTTTGGGGAGGTGGGAGGGGTTTGTGCGGAGAGAAGGGTGCAAAAATGAATGAATGGAATTCCAAAATCTCTGTAGATGTTCATTGAAATGAAAAATAAACTAAATTACAAAAAAAAAAAAAAAAGACCAGCTTGGTTTTGAAGCTGTGATTTTCAGCGGTGCACGTGAATAATTAATTCTAAACCTTGCAGAATGAAGAATACTGTTAAGCATTTCGTCTTTTCCAACATTTTTATTTACTACCCAAAACATCAACATCGGTCACCATAAATAATACTTGGCAGTGACAAATTTGGCACCACAGTCAAGGATAAAAAGAAACATATTTTAAATATTTATTCTGTCAATAGGATGTTCCTTTGTCCCACACCCCACCGCCTTAAGCCTTCTGAGTGCAGGGTTATCTGAAAATGAGAGTTTTGTCCTCTGGAATGCCATATTTTCCTTTGTGTTCCTCAAATAACTTCCTGAGCTCTTCCAAGTAAGTCTGATGCAGCTCCTCAACCTGCTCTGGGGTTGGCTGCAGAGTTTTCTCGACATGGATGGGGCGGCCAACTGCAAAAATAGAGAATGCATCATACGTGAGAAACCCCAGCCACTCCACCACACAGCGTGTCCCTGCTGGGCAGCTCCGGAAAGATCTGCCAATCAGAAGCCACGCAGGTCTGTCCATTCCCACCCCTTCTGCATTTTACTGGCTGCCTGCAGTGGTCACCCCACATCCCAACTTGTAACAAGAAAAGAATTTTCCTTCTCAGCAGACACAGGGCTGTCGGTACCCAGGCGGTTTTGACTTTTGAGTCAAACAAGCTACTGTGCTGACTGCAGCTGCGAGGTATGTGGACATAGCTGGGCGTTCACGTCACCAGCAAGCTCCCTTGGTACAGCTGACAGCCAGACCACAGTGCCCTATTATTACCGACCATGAAATCCTGGAATCGTGAGGCACCACGCCTCCTCTCCGACTCTTCCTAAGCCTTTCTAAGCGGTACAATAAGTGTGTACGCGTGTGCCTTTATAGCTAAGGATCTGGACAAGAGACAGATATTCTTGAGGATTCCACTGTCATTGTCAAACAGCAAAAGTCAAAGAAAAGCCTCAGTTCTCCTGACTTACCCATAAACCATGAGGCCCTCCTTAGATCCTAGCAGCAATTTTTTTAAAGGAAATTTTATTTTTGCTGCCGTTGAGAACAGGCAGAACAAAACACGCTAATGCCCCTGTTTCCAGATGAACAATTTAGTACTTGCTCTCATTACATTCTTAAATTGTGCCTTGCATTTGTAAATCATCTTTTTTGACATCTTCCCTCATTACCCTAAACACATTGCCTCCTAAGAATGCTAGCTCATCTGTAAAGGCAGTAATTTTTAGATTAAATAATATATATATTGTTGTTGTTGCTGTTATGTGCCGTTGAGTCGTTTGCGACTCATAGTGGCCCTATGTACAACAGCCCTAAACTCTGCTCTGTTCTGTGCCAATCGCACTGTCTCCAATACACCCATCCCGATTACCCCAGTCACTGAATCAAACACACACACACACACACACACACACACACACACACACGTATATATGTATATATACACATATATGTATATATATACACATATGTATGTGTATGTATATATACATACATATATATGTGTGTGTGTATATATATATCTGGTAGCCTAGTGGCAAGAAGCTGTGCTGCAAACCCAAAGGCACAAGGTTTAAGGCTACCAGCTGCTTGTGGGAGAAGGATGGGCAGTGCAGTCTCCTCCTGTGCAATTAACTGCCTCTAAACCCCACCCCCAGGGGCAGCACTGGGTCAGTTTCAACTCTATAGTACAGACCAATAACAATACATCTATATACTTATGTATATACACATATGTACACATTTAAAGTGAAAGCTGGTACACAGGTATCTATATACCAAAACCAAATCAAGCCCACTGCCATCAAGTCGATTCTAACCAGAGTGACCCTCCCTTGCGTTTCTAAAGCTGTGAATCTTTTTGGAAGAGGATTCCCTTCCCATCTCCCTCGAGGGTGGCTGGCTGATTAAAACTGCTGATCTTTCAATTCATTGCCCGACATGTAACACATCACCACAAGGTTCCTATTTATATTGACCAATGACTACAAATAGATTTAAGTAGGGGGCAAAAGTTATAGATTTGATGCAGTAAAATTTTACTGATGGGGGAAAAAACAAAGACCCTCCTTCGACATTTATATATAAGCATTTAGTGCACAGACCACAAGCTGTAGGGAAAGCCAGCAAATTGATATAACAGTGAAAGGAGGCTGGCCGGGGCAGCTTTCACTTTAAATGTAATACAGGAATTTTCTACAGGGAAAGCACAACTTGTCTTTTACCTCTATGAATACAAATCCAATTAATAAAGCAAACTCATCAAAGCAACTTTGGTAACCTCCATATGTATCTGAAGTGACATTTAACATAATAAACAACTTTTATTTCGCTTGTCTCTGATGTGTAGTGGTTACAAGGTGGATTTGGCTTTACAGCATCTGCTCTCCTGGTGCTCTCTGCTATGCTGCCCCCTGCTGGTCTGCTGCTGCCACTGAACACCAAGCATTAAAGACAAAAAACTCCCAAACTCTGCTTTTGCAGAACTCAAATTAGAGCTGACCCTCTAGGGAGTTTCCAGAGGTTGCAAATCGCACTGCAGGAGACTGTCCATCTTTCGCCCGCTGAGCTGCTAGTGGATTTGAACCACCAGAAAGGTGCCCCATTGGTTAGCAGCACCACTTTCTACAGACCAGAGCTCCCTTGAAAAACACATTGTCACTGTGTTACCATCGACTTGGAACCGATCCATAGCGGACCCTTCTCCAAGGGTTTTCAGAGGCCATAAAAACTCGGGAGGAGAGTGCCTATCCTTCTCTTGCAGAGCAGCTGGTGGATTCAAACTGCTCAACTTTGAGTGGACAGCACAATTCCTTACCACTAGGCCACCAGAGGCCTTTGAAAAGAGATAGGATGGTCGGTAATCTGCTCCATAGGAAACTGCTTCTTAGATGAGCTTGAGCGTGAAAGCAAGTGTGGCTGCAGGAGAAAGAGTGGATCCTTTGGCCTATCCTGAGTCACCCCATGCTATCCACAAGGCCCAGAGAAAACTTGGCAAATGTTAAGTCTCAGGGAAGGAAGAAAAGGACAAATGCCATCAACATAAGAAGGCAAGATATAGGGGAGCTCTGGTGGCCTAGTGGCAAGAAGTTGTACTGCAATCCTAGAGGTACACGGTTCGAATCCAGCAGAGCAATCTCCTCCTGTACCAGTTAGATCCGATTTGATTGTACACACACACACACACAAAATAATAATTTAAAAAAAAAAGCAAGATGCCAGAAAGATAATCTCTCCTCTCTTTCTCTCTCTCTCTCTCTCTCACACACACACACACACACACACACCCCAGATTGATGAGTTTGTAACTAGATACAACCTCAGGAAGCTCCTTTCATAATTTAGATGTCTAATTTATATATAATGGGCATCAATCCTCTGTAATTAAAAACAAATAGAAACATAACCATCTTATCAGTGGCGGCAGTATGGACTAGGACAGGCTGAGGTGGTTATGGGGCCCTAGGAACTGGCACAGTGGGAAAGCTCCAGTCTAGATGAGCTCTAGTCTTTGAGCCACCAGAATTCTTGATCATGTTCTACTTGGTCTTCCTGACGCACCCTGTGCAATTTTCTATTCAGCTCTTGTACTTTGTCGTTTCTTCCATTCCCTCATGAGGAAAAGCAGTAAAGTAAGGGAGGACATCAGGGGCGTTGTAGATGAAGGAAAGGTCATTAAGAAAGCAGGAAAGAAAGGACAAATAATGTCAGAAAAGACTGAAGCCTGCCCTAGAATGCAGAGGCACTAATGCGAACAGTTCTGTACTGAGTCCCTGCAAATCAGGCCCATTCTGACAAGGATCTGCAAAGCTATAGGAACCTAGAATCCATGCTTTTCTCAAAATGTTGTTTGGGGTTTTTTGGGGGGTTGTGGTTTGGTTTTTACTCTGAAGAAGGGGGGGAAATGCTTACCACCTAAGACTAGCTCAATGGCAAGCTGCTACAGAATTTTTATAGCAGAAAAGGGTAAAGAGCGTCATCACGCTGCTCTTGGAAAGAGCCCTTCCTGCCCTGGAAACATTTGCCGACGCCCACAGGCCATGGCAGAGCCGCCCTCAGCTTCTGTTGATGCTTGCTGCTTTTGATGGCTGGCCCTTTCATTGGTTATATCTGCAAGGTCCACAGGACAATTCCATCTCCTTGTGCACTCTTCCTTACACAGCAGGCTGTCTCATTTCTATTTTGGTGTCCTGTATTCAGGGGCTCTGGTGGTGCTGTGGTTACAGCACTTGCTGCTAACAAAAAGGCTGGCAATTCAGACCCACTAGTTGCTGCGGTGGGAGCTCTTGTGGCCTAAGGATAAAGAGCTGCGTAATATACCTACTTCCAACACTGGTAAGTTATTTCACTCGTGCGTATGAGTTGTCTTTTAGACTTTTAGCTCCTAAAATTGTCATTACTGTGTTGGGGGAACTCTGGTGGCTTAATGGTAAAGAATTGTGCTGTGAATGCCAAGATAGGTGGTTCAAATCCACCAGCTGCTCTATAACATCTCCCACTTTCCTTTATTGATCTCCAAAATACCAACTACAGTACTTGGCACATAATAATTACTACTGTTCATAACACAAGTGGCCATCTTCTTTGGAAAAATATGGCTGTAAAGATAACTTCTCAATATTCCTATTGCAGTAAGTAATGAAGTCTGCTAACATTCCAGACGAGTTAAAGACAGCACTGGGGGAAAAGCATCAAATGACTATGTGTGAAATTCAAAGTTCTTATAGCCTGGCAGGGGTCAAATTCTATTCTAATAAAGCAGACCTTAAAAATTGAAATACAGATATATGTATAGAACATATATATAAAGCCCTCCAGGGACTCAGTCTTCAGGGAATCTCACTGTTAACCTAAAGGCAGCCAGTTTGAATCCAGCAGAAGCTCTGCAGGAGAAAGACAGGAATCTCCACTCGTGTGATATGGAGCCTCTGACAACGTGCCAGAAAGTCAGCTATGAATTAGCTCTGACTTGACAGCAAGGAGTTTTATACACACATATCCCAGACTTCACTCACTGCAATTGAGGTGATATCACTTGCTGGCGACATTCCATTGGCTTCTGAAGCTTTTAGACCTTTTATGGGAAGACAAAGTGCCTTCCTCCTGCAGAGTGGATGATGGGAGTTGAACTAACTCTTTTGTTCACAGCCTAACACTTTACGCACTGCACCAACCAGGGCTCCGTTCACACACACACACATACAAACACAAACATATCTCTTTCATTGCCGTTGATTCGCCCCCAGTCATAGGTGGCTCTTCAGTGGGTTTCCAAGGATATAAGTTACACAAGAGGAGACAGCCTATCTTTTTTCCCTTGGAGCAGCTTTGATAAATGTGAACTTCAGAGAAGCTGGCCTTTGGGTTAGGAGCCAAACTCTCTACAGACTATGCCACCCAAGCTCCAAGCATACATATGCATCATTAGAACTTATATATGCAAAGAAACTAAAACCAATACTCGAATTTCATTTAACGGGCTACATATGGGGAAAACATTACTTCCAGTTTGACATAAAGCATATAAAGCCCAAACCCACTGTTAGCAAGTTCGTTTAGTCGACTCAGAGTGATCCTCCATCAGGTTTTCAATCTTTTCGGGAGGATTTCAATCTTTTCAGGAGCCTCTGCTGTGTTCAAACCACCAATAGGCTGTGGACAGCCTGACAAGCTGCGCACTGCGCCACCACGGCTTCCCTAAAGGTGTGTCTCATTGACACTCCCTCCTTCCCAGCCTAGGAGACCCCTTCAGACTGCTCAGTCCTCTTTAACAGGTCTGTCATTCTTCTCCACCTTCATTTCCCAAACAATATTTGTCTATATTAGACTACATGTAAATATGGCTAGTTTGCAAATGAATAGTTACGAAAAAGCTCTTTTGAAACTGATGCCTAAGTGACTTGAACACATCTATTCTACAGAATTTTCATCTGTGATATAACTCATCTATCAAAGAAATTCTGTGCTACAAACTGCTGGTATAAAAAAGTAATCAATATACAGTTCGAATCCACCAGATGCTCTGCTGGAGAAGGAGGGACAATCTCTTCTGGTATCAGTCAGATCTGATTTGACGGTACACACACACAAAATAGAATAAAAAACAGTTTTAAAGTAATCAACAGAGCACACAAAGTTCATTAGAGGCAATTTGAAACTCGGGTTTGAAAATTGGAGTCTAGTTCAGAAGCCGTATTCTCAAAAGTAGTTTGACTCCCATTCAAGTGGGAAATGCAGTTGTTTCCTAAATAAAAGGCACACACACTCTAACTGAAGCTCCAATAGCATCTACAGGATTCTTGTTTTAAGAGGTTCTTACCAAAGTCACTTTTCTATTGGCATTTCAGTCGGTAACCGCAAACATCACCTGGCTGATCAGTAAGATCTTCCTTGTACCGATGTTAACTAGCCTCTGATCTGCAGTGTACGTACCTACAGTGTGGACAGGTTTCCGGTAGGGCAGGAAGCCGAAACTGTACTGGAAAATTCCTCGGCCATGGAAGAGAGGCAGCGCAAAGCCCATGACCTTCTGTAGGTTATCCTGCAGCTTTCGAAGCCACGAGCCTTTAGGGTTGTCCACTTGTTTAAAGAGGTCATTTTCTCCAAAAGAAAACACTGGGACCAAGCTGGCACTGCGGATAAACCAGGGAGAAGCAGGAGCATTTGAAATAAGAAAGATTTCACTGTCTGTCCAGCTCACTTTCCCAACTTTTTAGTTTCCGTCAAGTCAATATTGACTCAGAGTGACCCTTTGTGTCACAGTAAAACTGTGATATGTAGGTTTACAAGGGCTGATTTTTCTTTTTCTAACACTGTGACACTGATGTGTCAAGTGCAATAATTGTTATCCATGGTGGACAGTGTTTGGTGGGGCTCCTGGATTAAAACAAGCTTGGAAGCAGGAGTGACATCCACTTCCGAAATCTCTTGCCTCCGGAAACTCTATGAACTTGGAAAAAGGATGAAAAATTACACACGTTTTCAGGTCTTTCGTTCATAGGGTGGCTATGAGTCGTCTATGACTCAACAGCACTTAACATATATATTGATACAGGCAAGTCGGCTGTCATGGACGTCTCCAAATTACTGAGGAGCAATGGTGTCAATATGAATATTGAGGTGTGCCTGATTCAGATCATGGTCTTTTCTATCACTTGCTGTGTGTCTGAGAGCTGGACCATGAGTAAGGACGACAGGAGAAGAATCAATGCTTATGAGTTGTGGTGTTGGAGTACAGAATATCCCACGGACTGCCAACAGAATAGATAGGTCTTGGGGAAAGTGCAGCCGGAGTGCTCCTTGGAGGCAAGGATGGTGAAGCTTTGTCTCACATACTTCAGGCACATTGCTGGGAGACGATGTTCCTTGGAGAGGGACATTATGTTTGGAAAGGTGGGGAGTCAGAGAAAAAGACCCTCAGTGAGATGGATTGATATGGTGACTGCAGCAATGGGTGTGAGTAGGTGAGAGATGATGTGGATGGCACAGGACAGGGTTCTTTTGTTGTAGGGTCATAATGAGTCATACTTGACTTGAAAGCACCAGTAGAGGTAATCTGTTCACAATATATTTATATAAACTACTCAAAAACTCATTGCCACTGAGTTTAAACTAACTCATAGCAGAGGGCCCTCCAGCGGGTTTTCAGAGGCTGCTGATCACATGGAAGGTGAGAGACCATATTTCTCCCAAGGGGCCAAGGAATGAACTAAAAGCCACCTACCCGTGGGTCAAAGCCATCTTAATAAACCCCTTCCGCTCGCGAATGAACAGAGTGCAGCTGCCAGGGTGCGCGTCCAGCGCCTCTTTGGCCCCTCCGAGGACAATGATAGAGATGTTTCCTCCTTCTTCTCTGCTCAGCACGTGGGACACACTTCTCTTGGACACTGAGACATGCCCTTGGTGAAGAAAACAAAAGTCAAAAACAAAATTACATTTTCTTTCATCACATAATGTCCTAGGGAAATCAGCAAGCATTCAAGAACATTTCCTACGCTGCTCCCATTTGGAGCATTTTGTTAAGCTGCTAACCTTTATGTAGTCCTATTCTTGATACACTTGCTGCAGAAGATAAGGACTGCAGCCTTCACTATCTATTACATCTCACATCAAGAAAACGAAGGTCCTCGCCAAAGGACCAACTTTATGATAGATAAAGAACTGAGGTTGTGCTTGGATCAACAATCAAGACACTTGGAACCAGCAGTCAGGAAATTAGGAGACGTATTGCATGGGGCAGCTTTGCTGTCAGGGACTTCTCAAAAATGCTGAAGAGCAATGATCTCAGTTTGAAGACTAAGGTGAGCCGGATATAGCTCATGGTCTTCTCCATCATCTGTCATGCATCAGAGAGGTGGACAATGAGTAAGGATAACAGAAGAATTGATGCTTTCTAGTTGTATTGCTAGAGAAGAGTACTGAACATCCCATGAACTGCCTAAAGTACGAACAGATCTGTCTGCGGAAAGTGTAGTCAGAGTGCTTTTGAGGCAAAAAGGGTGGCCCTTTGTCTTTCATACTTTACACATATAGCTAGTCGAGGCAATTCCTTAGAAAGGAACACCATGGCGAGCTCTGGTAGCCAAGTGGCAAGAAGCTGCACTGCAATCCCAGAGGTGAGCGGTTCGAATCCACCAGATGCTCTGCTGGAGAAGGAGAAACAATCTCCTCCTGTACCAGTCAGATCCGATTTGACGGTACACACATAAATAACAAAAATAAAAATAAAGAAAGGAACACCATACTTCGAAAGATGGGAAGATCAGTGAAGAAGACGACCCTCAATGAGATGGATTGACACAGTGACTTCAGTAATAGGCTCTAGTGTGTCAGAGATTATGAGGGTGGCTGGCACAGGATAGGAAAATCAGATCTGCTGTTCATGAGGTCATTATGAGTTGTACTCGATTTGATGCCACCTAACAACAACAACATTGGTACTGTGTTCTATTAATAAGATCTAACAATGATCAGGGTGTGTCATCTGGATAACGCAGATTGTTAATAGATCTTCCTCCGATCCTAATGCCACACTTCTCCTCATAGAGCCCAGCCTCTCGGATAGTCTTATGCATACAGGTTGAAAAGGTATGGAGATAGGACACACCCCCGGTATACACCTTTCCCAATTTTGAACCATGTAGTGTTTCCCTGCTCTGTTCTGACAACAGCCTCTTGGTCCAAGTATAGGTTTCACACTAGAATGATCAAGTGTTCTGGCATTCCCATTCTTAGAGTCAGCCAGTTTGTTATGATCCACACAGGCAAACGCCTTTGCATAATCAATGAAACACATATACTACATTCTTCTAGTATTCCCTGCTTTCAGCTAAGATCCATCTAACATCAGCTACAATATCACTAGCAGATGACACAACCCTGCTTGCTGAAACTGAGGAGGACCTGAAACGTTTGCTGCAGAGGGCCAAGGACTGCAGCCTTTAGTATGTATTGAGGCTCAATGTCAAGAAGACAAAGATTCTCACCACTGGACCAACTGGCAGCATCGGGATGGATGGTGAAGAGGTTGAAATGGTTAACAACTTGAGTCTGCTTAGCTCCACAGTCACTCTTGGCACCAGTAGCCAGGAAATAAAAAAACTTAAGTCTGCTGTTAGGGACCTCGAGTCCAGGGTACTGAAGAGCAATGGTGTCACGTCTGATACAGGCCATGGTTTTTGCAATCACTTGTTATGCATCAGAGAGTTGGACAATGACTAGGAAGGATAGGAGAATTGATGCCTTTGAGCTGTGGTGCTGGAGAAGAGTATTGAGAGTGCCAGGGACTGCCAAGAAAAACAGATTCATCCTGGAGAGGGTTAAACCTGGCTACTCGTTGGAGGCAAGGATTCTGGGGCTTCATCTGACATATTTTGGACATATTGTAAGGAGAGACAGGTCTTTAGAGAGGGACATCATGCTAGGCAGAGTGGAGGGACAGTGCAGGAGGGGAAGACCCTCCATGAGGTGGATTGATTCAGTGACTGGGGTAATCGGGATGGGTGTGTCAGAGGCAATGAGATTGGCACAGGATAGAGCAGGGTTTAGGGCTGTTGTACATAGGGTCGCTATGAGTCGCAAACGACTCGGCGGCACACAACAACAACAAGCAGGGACTCTCCCTTAGCAGTAAGGTGTTGTCCTGCTAACCCAAAGGTAGTTCAAAGCCACCAGCTGCTCTGTGGTACAAGAGTGGACGACCTCCTCCTGTGCAATTAACAGCCTCAGAAAACCCAGCAGAAGGTCAGCTATGGGTTGGTTCCAACTCAGTGGCACACAACAACAACAACAACTATGTTTGGTAGAATCCCTTTACTTCAGAATCAACTCATTAGCACATGATACTACAAACACATTTTCTGTGCTTTGGGGAAATTTGACATTTTTTTTCTTTCAAAAATTGCAAATCCAATTCCTGCAAAATAGGAAGAATCTCCACGCCCCCAACCCACCCTCCCCACCCCACCTGGGGGGGAAGGTGAGGAGTAGCCCAACCGCAGATGAAACACCAGAGGTGGACAAGGACCCATGGCTTGGCCCAAAGTGGCTGTACAGTCATCTGGGTTTGGGGGAGACATGCTGAGTGCCCAGTCACCCCAGACTACTAGGGTCCCCTGCCTTCACTCACCACTGCCCATCACGTATTCTCGGAAGAAAGGACATCGGAACCAAAATGGAAGCACATGAAGGTACGCCGTTAAGCCAGGAAACAGCTTGCTGAAGTCCGAATGGTTTGTACTAAAGTTCCCAAAGGCTCCAACCACCATCACTCCATGTGGGTGAAATCCAAATATGTAGTTGCGACTTGGATCCAAATCGTGCGTTTTGATGAGCTACAACAGGTTTACATTGAGATTTAAAAAAAAGAAATAGTGTCCCCTTCATTAGTTTCCAAAAGGAAATAAAACTCCCCAAACCCACTGTAACTGAGTCAACTGCATCTCCTGCCAGCCCGTGTGACAGGGCAGATGGCCTCACGGGGTTTCTAACGCCGTCAGTGTTTATGGGATCAGATTGTCACATTTTTCTCCAGGGGATCAGCTGGGGGGTTCAAACTGCAATCTCCAGGTTAACAGCCTGCTCTGTAACCTCTGCGCCCCTAAAGCTTCCATGTAAACAAACTCAGCTCCACTCAACACATGGGCAACCAGGTGGACTCAGCCCATAGCCGAGCCGCCACTGGCTTTGCAAGGTAGAAACCGCTTAACTGGGAGAAGATTGCCCATCGATCCCCCTTGAAATGTGAAACAAGGAGGCCCATAATGAGTTCTGTGTCAAGAGGAAACAGAGCAGGGAGCTTCCTTTCTCTGGGTTGAAGATGTTCTCAAACATCTAAACTATCTCCTGTGTCCAGAGCCCTCCACAGAGAGACTCCTCCGTTACTTAACGTTGAGTTCTCTTAGCAACATGAGCCAGCTTCAGGCTTTCTCCCTTTGAGGTGGAAGAAGTTGGAAATATACGTGAGGAAAACAAATGCCCGCTCTCCTCCAGTTCTGAGAAATGCCATATGAAACAGTGCTACTCACGTGGACTGGGAAATAGTCCCTAAAGTGCTTCCACACAGTCCAGCTTCGGCCCCACTGGCTCCTCCTGCCGCCTTTCTCCGGGGTCCGCCAGTCAAAGTAAAGCCACACCAGGTAAGGGATGTAAATGAACCAATAGTTGTATATGACCAGCAGCAGAAAGATTCCCACGCACACCGGCGCTGTAACGAAGCACAAGCACCCAGGGGGTCAGAGGCAGGTGCTACCTGCGCCTAGTTTGTTTTTTTGTTGTTTTTTAAAAATTTATTTTAGTTTGTTTATTTTCATTTCAATGAACATCTACAGAGATTTTGGAATTCCATTCATTCATTGTTGCACTCTTCTCCCCTCACAAACCACCCCCCTCCCCGTTTGCTCCTCTCCTTGAAAAGCAAAATAAAAACTCCCTCATTGGTACACACCCCCCCGCACCTCCCCAAACTCTGCCTAGTTTTGTACAATCAGGAGCTCATGGTTGGGTGAGGTCCAAGGACCAGCTACCGCCAGCCACGCTTCAGGTCAAGTGAGGTCATATAACAAAAAGGGCGCTGTGCGGACGTTGTCCACTGGAAGGGTCGGACTCAAGGACAGTGTTGTCATTGTGTACTGCTGAGTCAGAATTGACCCATAGCTGACCCTCTGATGGGTTTTCAGAGGCAGTTAATCGCATGGGAGGAGATTGACCTGGTGGCCTTGAACCGTGTGCCTTCAGGATTGCAGCACAGCTTCTTACCACTAGGCCACAAGAGCTCCCTGTGACAGTAGTAGTAGTAGTAGTAGTAGTAGCACAGTAGTAGGAGCAGCAGGAATAGTAGTAGTATTGTTGTAGTAGTTGTAGTAGTAGTATTGTTGTAGTAGTTGTAGTAGTATTGTAGCAGTAGTGTAGTAGTATAGTAGTAGTAGTAGTATTGTTGCAGTAGTATAATAGTAGTAGTGTAGTAGTGGTAGTATAGTAGAAGTAGTAGTGAAGTTGTAGAGGAGTAGTAGTGGTGGTGGTGGTGTAGTGTAATAGTAGTAGTGTAGTAGTAGTAGTATAGTAGTAGTGGTGGTGGTGGTAGTGGAGGAGTAGAAGAGTAGTATAGTATAGTATAGTATAGTATAGTATAGTATAGTATAGTAGCAATGTGGTAGTAAAGAAGGAGGAGGAGGAGGAGGAGTAAAAATAAGAGAACTCTCATGGCCTAATGTGTAAAGAGTAATTATACAAACCCAAAGGCTAGCAGTTCAAATCCATTAGTTGTTCTTCTAGAGAAAAAGACAGGCAATTCTCTCCTCTGCACTTTACAGCCTCCATAAACCTGCCGGAGGGCCGATCTGACTCCACTCCTGGCCAGGAGCAGTTGAGTTAAACGTCATACAGTATTATTAGATGCTCGTTATTACGTTCCAGCACTGTGTGCTCTATCTCAATACTCTCATCCACCACTCCTTACAGCCTGAGGACTGGAGGCTGATTCAGTGACACACTTTGCCTCCAGGCAGGAGACTGAATCCAAGTCTTGGCCAATGCTCTTCACCAGCAGCCACCAGCCACTTGTCAGTGGAAATTTAGGTGTCAACTTATGCTCAATCATGTCGATCACGTTTCAGCAGAGTGTGCATTTAAGGTAGGGTAGGAAGAAAGGCCTTGGGGTCTACTTATATACATTATCATTCAGTGAAAATACTATGGATCTCAATAGTTCAATCTACACAGCATCACAGGAGACATGGAAGCAGGCAGCATTTTGCTGTGTAATGCTGGTACAAGCAGGCATTCACGCAACCGCAGTTAACGACAGCTCTAAGCCAGCACTAAAACCACTGCTGTTAAGTCAGCCCTGACTCCTGGTGACCCTCTGTCAGGTTTCTAAAGCTGCACATCAGTCTTTCTTCCATGGAGCTGATAGGGTAGGGGAAAGGTGGGGCTTTGAGCTGCTGACCATTTGGTCATGAGAACATCACAAGAACTCAGCAGATAATAACTTGGCTGTTAAACACCATCAAGTTGACTACAACTCATCGTGACCCTTTGAACCAAAGATAAAAATCTATGAATAACCAGATGCTGCACCATGTCCACAATCTTGTCATGGTCAAGCTCATTGCGGTTACCACTGTGTCAATCCATAACGGGTAGCTGAAGAGGTTTTCTTTTCATTTTGAGCCATGCTACACCAGCAACAGGAAGTCCTTCATTGAAAGAAATCAAAGTTATTAACAACTTCACCTTGCTTGACTCCACGGCCAGCAGTCAGGAAATTAAAAGATGTGCTGCACTGGGAAAAATCTGGTCAGGGATTTCTTCAGAGTTCTGAGAAGCAACAATGTCAGTCTAGAGACTAAGGTGTACCTGAGCCAGGCCATGGTCTTTGCAATTACTTGCTATGCATCAGAGAGCTGGACAATGACATGGGATGAAAGAACTGATGCCTTTGAGTTGTGGTGCTGGAGAAAAAGTCTTGAACATACCCATGGACTGTCAAGAAACAAACTTGTCCGTCTTGGAGAAGGTGCACCCAAGTTTCTTCCTGGAGGCTAGAACTTTGAAGCTCTGACTCACATACTTTGGGCATGTGGCCAGAAGGGACTGGTCCATGGAGTAGGACAGCATGCTAGGTGGTGGGACAGTGCAGGTGATGAAGATCCCAGATGAGATGGATTGACACAGCAACCGGAGCAATGGGAGTGGGTATGCCGGAGTCAGTGAGACTGGCTCAGGACAGGGCAGGGTTCAGAGCTACTGTATAGTGTCATATTGTCACAGGGGTTTCTTTCCCTTCATATATTTTACAATTTGTAACATATATTGCATCCAGTGTTGCAGCACACAATTTTCTGGTGTTACTAGTCTCAGATGTTCACTCTTGAATATTCAATGTTATGATTTATATAGTTAATGAGAGTAAAAGACAACAATAAATAGAAATAAAAACTAATCAGATATTCAGCTTATGTTAGAACTGATTTATACCAGGAGTTCTCAAATAGAACTCTTTAAATCAAGAGCTACCTGGGTTATCAAAAGAGAAGATTCTAATCTTAATCTCTTCTCCTGGTATTTTAGAAATTGGACAATGAATAAGGATGACAGAAGAACTGATGCCTTTGACTTGTGGTGCTCGTGAGAAGTACAGAATATCCCTCGGACTGCCAAAAGAAAAAACAAATCTGTGCTGAAGAATTGTCACTGAGTGCTTCTGGGAGGCAAGGGTGGTGGTGATAGGCTGTGTTTCATTCTGTTTGTACAGATGGTCACCATGAGCTGGAATTGACTTGGTGGCACCTAAAAACAACAAACTTTAGTGATAAGTGTGTTATTTCTGACTAAAGTATGTGTATGTGTGTGTTTCACCTTAAAAATACCAAATAGCATTTCAAGTAACATTTTGTTATTTCTTAGGGGAGCAATGGTGTCAATTTAAAGACTAAGGTGATCAAAACCATGATATAATTTTTCCAATTACTTACTATGTACATAAAAATTGCGCAGTGAAAACAAGGACGACAGAAGAATGCCTTTGAGTTGTGGTGCTGGAGAAGGGTGCTGAATGGACTACCAAAATGTCAAGGACACATCTAGAAAACGTGCAGCCAGCGTGCTCCATGGCGGCAAGAATAGTGAAGCTTCGTCTCGCATACTTTGGGCAAGTGAGACGAGGAGGGGCCAGTCCTGGAGTAAAGACATGCTCAGAAAAGCTGAGTGTCCGTGAAGAAGAGGAAGACCCTCGAGGAGATGGATTGACACAGTGACTGGAACAGTGGGCTTGGGGGTGTCAGAAATCATGAGGATGGTCCAGAATATGACAGAGCTCAGACCCACCATCCATGGGGTCCCTGTGAGTCAACAAGGATCCGGCAGCACCTAACAACAGTAATTCAAATATCCACACCTCGGACTCACATTCCTGGCAGCGGAGAAACAAATACGTTCTAGAAATTTTATTTTGAGATTTTAAGATATATGATGGTGGTGGTGGTGTGTGCCGTTGAGTCGCCAGTGACTCATAGTGACCCTGCCCTATCGTGAGCCAGTCTCCCTGACTCTGATACACCTAGTCTCATCATCCTGGATGTCGTGTCAATCCATCTCATCTGCACTGTCCCTCTGCCCTTCCCAGCATGATGTCCTTCTCCAAGGACCGGTCGGTCCCTCCTGGCCACATGCCCAAAGTATGTGAGATGAAGCTTCAAAATCCTAGCCTCCAAGGAGAAACTTGGTTTCACATTAATAAAATCTTTCATTACTATTGGTAGTAGCTGTTGCTTCAAATTTGATTATCTAGAAGAAAGGATTAAACATTTTCCTGCCTTTCCTATAAACACAGAATTCCGGAGTTCTCAAACTGCCCTAAATGATGAGGGTGGAGGGGAATTTTCCATACAGAAATTGCAGTAATAAATGATAGAGTAAGAAAAGTATCACTTTACTGAGTCTAATAAAATGATTATTAAAATGAGAGTGCTCTGGTGGCTTAGACATAAGGAGCTGCACTGCAACCCCAAAGGTATGTGGTTCGGGGCTATGAGCAGCTGTGGAGGAGAAGGGTGGGCAATCTCCTCCCAGGTGGTTAACTGCCTCTGAAAACCCGCCGGAGGTCAGCTATGGGTTGGTTCCTACTCTATGGCACACGATAACAACAACAGTAAAATTATTAAAATGAGGGCGCTCTGGTGGCTTAGTCATGAGGCGCTGCTCTACCATCTCAAAGACACTCGGTTAGAATCCACCAACTGGGTCAGGGGAGGAAAAGGACAGTCTCTTACTGAGCGCTTCACGGCCTCTAGAAACTCCAGCAGAGCAGCTAGGAGTTGGTTCCTACTCGCCAGTACACAACAACAATAAAATGATTCAGGATCTCTGGTGGTGCAGCTCATTACCTGCTTCGGTGATAAGGTCAGAGGTTTGAATCTACCAGCTGCTTTGAGGGAGAAAGGTGGACAGTCTCCTCCCAGGGAGATTTCTAACTCCTGAAGCCAATGGAGGGTCCCTGTGAGTCAGGCCGGTGTCAACAGCAGCCGGCTTGGTTTGGAGTTTTGCAATAACTTTGTTAGTCCAGATAAGATGTTGAATGGAGGTTTAAACCACTAGTTGAAAGGTCAAGAGGAAGTCATCCTGCTACAGATTAGTTGCTGGTTATGAGAAAAAGAATCCTAACTCCAGAACGAGACAGAAGGTGATCCGCACCAGGACTCAGTCTCAGACGCTAGCAACATGACGTGCATCCTGAGATAAACAATGGAAGCACACAGCAGTAAGTCAGCGAGTAAGAAACCTTGGGCAAAAAGGTCTACTCCAAATCCAATCAATGTCTTTACAACTCACTTTCACTTTAGAAGAAATCCAGGGGACACTTTAACACCATAAGGAAACAGATAAATGCAGAAGGTAAGCCAGGCCGGCTCCTTCAACAATTATAAGAAAACAGGATAAGCACTATTCAACATGAAAGGAGAATAAAAGCAAATGCTACATACAGGTTTAGATACAGGTTCATTGGTAAAACTGTGCCATCAAGTAGACTACAATTCATCGTGGCACCATGAACCGAGGGAAACTCTGCCCTATCTGGTACCATCCTCGGACTGTCATGCTGAAACTCACTGTTACAGATACTGTCAATCCCTCTCACGGAGGATCTTCCTTTCTTTTGCTGACCTTCACCTTTCCCCAGCATACCTACTTCCAAGGACTGGCCCTTCAGGCAACATACTCCAAGTATGTCAGGTGAAGTTTCACCACCTTTGCCTCACAGAAGCATCCTGGACATACTTCCAAGACAGACTGGTTTGTTAATTTGGTTTGTTGTTGTTGTTAGGTGCCACTGCATTGACTACAACTCACAGCGACCCTACTGCTTTTTGAATGACGTAATTCAAAGGCATTGATTGACTCTTCTGGGGCCTTTTACTCCTTGCCCCACTTTCACACGCAGACCTAGCAATTGGAAATACCACGGCTCTGGTCAACCTTTAATATCCTTGCTGTTCAGCACTTTGAAGAGGTTCTTGACAGCAGATTTGCCCAGTGCAGCATGTCTTTTGACCAAGAAAAAATAAATTATGAAGTCTTAATATGAACTTGGTTTGCAGGTTTTTAAGGAGTTAATTTTGTTAATTCCTTTGGTCATGGTACTGTAATTATGTACAAAACATTGTTTAAGAGTGCATACTGTGGAACACTGGAAGTATAGTGGTTAAAGACTTTGGTTGTTAACCCAGAGGTTAGTGGTTCAAATCTACCAGTCACTCAATGGGAGAAGGAAGTGCCAATCTGCTTCTGTAAAGATTTACAGCCTCAGAAACTCTGTAGGGTAGTTTGACTCAGTCCTACAGGGTCAACATGAGAAGGAAAAAAAGAATTTAGAAGAGTTCCCTCATCCATAAAAAGAATGCAGCAGTGACTCACGGGGCTGGTGTGAGGATTGTTTCGTCTTAAGTTGCACTGAGCTGACCTCAACTCAAGGTGACCCATACACAAGACTGGACTGCTGTGATCCATGTGGTTTCCACGGGCTGATTTTTCAGATGTGGATTGCCAGGCCTTTCTTCCTCATCTTAGCCTGGAAACTGCTCAAACCTGCATCAAACCAACACACCAGCCTCTGCTGACAGGCAGGTGGAGCCTGAATCAGGAGGGGTTATTAAGTGTATTTCTTTAGAATTGTGCCTATCACATACCAAGCCCTCAGTAAGTGTTATCTGCTATGTTCTCAGTGTCTCTTTGGTCCAGCTAAAATGGAATGGAATGTTAACAATCCTGCCTCACAGTGTGGCCCAGAACTTAAGCTGATAAGTCGAATGTCTTACAAGAACTTTTCCTCATGTGATTTTCAGTCTGTAGCCAGGTGGAGACCCACTGATCTAGTCATGCAAGATGTAAAATTATTTTCAAAGTGTAAGCTCTATGCTTTGGACATGTTGCAAAGTGGGACCAGTCCTTGGAGAGTGACCTCACGCTTGGGAGGGTGGAGGGACAGCACTGGAGAGGAAGACCCTGGGTGAGATGGATTGACTCAGTGACTGGGGTGATGGGGGTGTGTCAGAGACAATAAGATTGGCACAGGATAGAGCAGGGTTTAGGGCTGTTGTACAAAGGATCGCTCTGAGTCACAGGCAACTTGATCAAACACAACAACAACCTCTACCATGAGTCCTACCGCGCAGAGAGTTCTCTTCATCTTTGCATTCACCTCACCGGCACCAAAAGCATGTCCATCATGCTTTCACAGCAGCAAATGACTCCAGCCTCCTGGACTTTTAGTTCACAGAGAAAGTGTCTGGTGGTGTGAGAGGCTACCATGCCTACTTCTCATACCTACAAGAGATCTAAACTTCGCCTGATCCTATGCCATCTTCACAATCTCACTGGGCTCACGTCCATTATTGCAGTCACTGCATCAATCCATTTCCTTGCATTTCTCCTCTCCTTCTCCAACCCTCCCCCTTTTCAAACATGATGTCCTTTTCCAGAGACTTACCCTTTCTGACAACTTGTTCAGAATATAGAAGACAAAGTCCCACCAGCCTTGCCTCTACAGAGAACCCTGGCTGCCCTTCCTCCAACACAGATTTGTTTGTTCTTTAGCGAATCCATGAGATTGATACTCAATACTCTTTAAAAGTGACCTCCATGCTCTTTAGGATGTAAGGAGGTCTTTGGCAAAAGGTTGTTGCTGTGTACCCTCAAGGAGGGATCATTTCATAGCAGCCCCAGCAGTGGGTTTGCAGAGGCTGTAAATCCCACAGGAGACTGTCCATCATTCTCCCATGGAGCCGCTGGTGGATTCCAACTGCGTACCTTTGGGTTGACAGAGGAACTCCTTACCATTAGGCCGCCAGAGCTCCCTCCGACAGCAGGAGGTCCCAGTAATAGGTTTCTCCTTCTATCCTCTGCTAAACACTGTGACACTGATGTGCCAATGGGATAATGGTTACCCATGGTGGACAGTGTTTGGTGCAGCTCCCCGATTAAAACAAGCTTGGGAGCAGGAGTGGAATCCACTTCCAAAATGGCTTGCCTCCGGAAACTCTATGAGCAGAGTTCAGGCCTTTCGTTCATAGGGTTGTTATGAATCATCTACGATGCAAAGACACCTAACAACAATAACAACAACATAGAGATGCTACCAAGCCCAAGGTGGGAAGGTGGGTGATTTTAATCTGCAGCCTGGTTGAAATTGTGGGTTTTTTTCCCCCAAACATTCTTCTAGGTGTTATAGCACTGGTCTGTCGTGTGCATTGCTATACTGATGTAATTCGTGGTTGCTGTGATGTTAAACACTGACACTGATGTGTCAAATGTGATAATGGTTACCTACGGTGGACAGTGTTTGGTGGAGCTTCCCGAGTAAAACAAGCCTGGAAGCAGGAGTGGCATCCACTTCGGAAATGGCTTGCCTCCACAAACTCTTTGTACAGTGCTCAGGCCTTTCATTCATAGGGTCGCTATGAGTCATCTATGACTCCACAGCACCTAACAACACAAACAACAACCCTCTGCCCATTCACTCCAAGAGCAGAACAAGTGTGCAGACAAAAGTGCTCAGATGAGGTTCCCTGCCTTCTCTCCATCAAGGCCACATGACGTAAAGAAGCCGCCACACCGTCACTGACTGGCACCTGCACCTTTCCACAGTGGACTTGGTCAGGACCAGGGAAATTTCCTGACAGAAGCCACCGAGCCCATATTTTGCTGCAGCCTTCTTATCTGTCTGAATCTGAGACCTTTAAACAAAGAAAACAAACCCTGCTGTTTGCCATCAGGGTGGGAAGAAAGGATTTACATCTTAAATATTGATTCTCCAATTATGGACTGACTCAATGAGGAATGAGTTTACCCACTTTTGAGGCACTAACATGCAATGTTCTACAGCTCCACTGGTCGTGAACACAGGTTATAGACATCAGCCAAAACCCTCTTAAAATTAAGGGGCTCTATTGTTGATAGACTGTACTAAAAAAAATAAACAAATACGATAAGGCAAAGTTCATACAGTTGTTTGCTATGAGATCAACAAAAGTCAAAGAGGATAAGACCAAGTTAGCTCCCAGGCTTCTGCAATGCGTGCAGCCTGGGGCGAGAGGGGACCTTACCCATCACCACGAAGGACAGCACCCATTGCAGCACCGCTGCCGTCTGCAGCCGCCGCGCCAGCGGGATGTTGAGCGGGGCAAACTCAACCTTCATGGCCTGGCAAGGACCGCGCTGACTGTACAGCCTGGAACCTTCCCCGGCCTGAGCGGGAAGTGTGTGGCTGGATTGGGTGTTGCGCTGGCCACTGCTAGGCAGAGAGGAGCAGAAAGCTGTTCCTGTGCTGGACTTGGCCTTGGAGAATTCCACCAAAAGGAGGCACCAGGTTGAAATGAAGACGTGGAGAGACTATTCCTTGATGGCGAATAGCAACCTTTGTTATTCTGGCAAGGGTATATATGTCTTAGGAACATGCCTGAAGGGGTAATCGCATTATCTCTTATCTATCCAGAGATGTTGACTGGTAGATCAAACATTCCCAGACCTTCACACAAAACAAGGACATTTTCCAGACAATAAATTTTTACAAACAAAAAGGTACCACATTCATAGAATTCTGAGGCCTTTGGTCACTCCCTATTCATTAGCATACTGCTTCCTGGAGTTGTTTACTGTAGAAAAGATGGTCAAGCCAAGATGAGTGGTCCTGCTGTTTTTACTATGCATTGCTGATCCTGCTTTGCAGGTTAGCCAGGCCCTGACAGTTCCTCCTTCTTAATATAATAAAATATGGGCTGCTGCCTGTCTTAGGTGGGTATGAGACCTCAAACTCAAGTTGCCCATCTTTGGGATCATAGCAGTCAATGCTACTCCCTGTCTTAGGATCATGAGCAAGCCTCATTCTTTACCCGTTGTTGGCTACACATCCTGCATTTGTCTGGGGAGGGCCTTAAGTTGAATTCCATGCACTTTACACAGCAGTTCTCTATAACACTTGGCTATCATATGACCAACACAAGGGAGAACCCATAGCATACCTATGATAAAAATACAAAGAGCAACAATCGTAAAAAGAAGATTTCTAAATGAAGTTACTGAAGGAAACCAGTTTTTTAGATTTTAAAATATTTGACTAGCTTGTTCAGCCGGGGAAATATTTATATCTGGGGTATTCTGCATTTCTAGAATTCTTTGGTGCAGATCATACAAATCAAGAGAATCACTATTAGACATCCAAATTCCTTTTAAATAAGATACTACCTTTGTCCAATCATTATCTGAGCTATTGTATGTCAATTTAGTAACACAAATAGAGTCATAGGCCACATGGCATCTTAACTTTCTTTTCATTCTAATTTGTTGTACCATGTTTCCTAATACATTCACTGTATCATATGAAGCATTACATTTTTGTTCCATAACTTCATCCACATTCTCTTGCTCTACCCAATTTTTTGTCACATTATGCATTAACCCATTTACAAACTTAGCCATTTGAACTTCTTGAGTCAAAGCTATAGCAGGAGTAGAGACAGTACCAATCATAGAGATAAGAGAAACAATTCCTACAATAATTAGACCTACAGCTCTCTTGGTTCTAGATGACAACTTATATAACTCTTTTTAAATTTGCAAGCTTTTATCATCATACCAAATATCATTTAACTTTACTGGTGTCATAACAAAAGGAGGATTCTTTAGAATAACAACTGAATCATCCTTGGTAATAGAGCTAATACAGTTAGAAATTAAATTTGGGATAATCACCAGTGATTACATTATTACCAATTAATAAGACATATGGTTCAGGTACATACGACAGGACGTTGGTGTTTGTGACATTATCTCCCTTACATTTATCTTTTGGGATACAGGAAATATTTATCGAATCCATGCTGGCAACTAATTTCCACAATTCGGTTTGAAAGTTCTGCATATCTATAGTCCACATTCCTCCTACAGATCCTTTCATAGGAAGTCGAGGACCATGTGTATGAAGAGGTGACCAGTCTAATAACATAGGGTACTCCAAGCGAGGTAGCGTTCCAACCATTGGTCCTTTAAAAATTATATTACCGAGCCCCGCCGAGGCCCGGGGCCCCAGACCCCGGCGGCGGCGGCGGCGGCGGCCAGGACGCTAGGGCGAGGGCCAAGGGCCTGAGTTACCCTCTGCAGCCCCGTTCCTGGGCCTTGGCGGGCCTCGGCAGCCCCATCGCCCAACTTTTCCACCCTCCCCCCTCCCTTTCCCCGAAACTCCAGCAACAAAGAAAAGTAGTCGGAGAAGGAGCGGCGACGCCGGGTCGTTCCGCTCCCCCTCTGCTGGTTAGGCGGAACACAATAATGGCCACCCAGGTAATGGGGCAGTCTTCTGGAGGAGGAGGAGGGCTATTCACCAGCAATACCAACATGGGCATGGCTTTGCCTGATGACGTGTATGACTTACATGACCTCTCCAAAGCTGAACTGGCAGCGCCGCAGCTTATCATGTTAGCAAATGTGGCTTTGACTGGAGATGTCAGTGGCAGCTGCTGTGACTACCTGGTTGGTGAAGAAAGACAGATGGCAGAACTGATGCCTGTTGGGGATAACAACTTTTCAGATAGTGATGCAGAAGGACTTGAAGAAGAGTCTCCTGATATCAAAGGTGAACCTAATGGACTAGAAAGGATGGAATTGGAAAGTTTAGAACTCAGTGTTGTAGAACCTCAACCTGTATTTGAGATGTCGGCCACCCCAGAAATGTATAACACAGATAAAGATCTTCCTGCCGAAACACCTGGCCCAGAGGACAAGTGCAAGAGCTTGAAGAGCAAACCCTTTCGCTGTAAGCCATGCCAGTATGAAGCAGAATCTGAAGAACAGTTTGTGCACCACATCCGAACTCACAGTGCCAAGAAATTCTTTGTGGAAGAAAGTGCAGAGAAGCAAGCAAAAGCTGGAGAATATAGCCCTCCCATTGTGGAAGAGGGTGATTTCTCCAAGGGCCCCATTCGCTGTGACCGCTGTGGCTACAGTACCAACCGCTATGATCACTATACTGCACATTTGAAGCACCACACTAGGTCTGGGGATGACGAGCGTGTGTACAAGTGCATCATCTGCACGTATTCCACGGTCAGTGAGTACCACTGGAGGAAACACTTGAGGAACCATTTTCCTCGGAAGGTGTACACATGTGGGAAGTGCAACTATTTTTCAGACAGAAAAAACAATTATGTTCAGCACGTTCGAACTCATACAGGAGAACGCCCATATAAATGTGAACTTTGCCCTTATTCAAGTTCTCAGAAGACTCATCTTACTAGACACATGCGTACACATTCAGGTGAGAAGCCATTTAAATGTGATCAGTGCAGTTATGTGGCCTCTAATCAGCATGAAGTAACCCGGCATGCAAGACAAGTTCACAATGGGCCCAAGCCTCTCAACTGCCCGTACTGTGACTACAAAACGGCAGACAGAAGTAACTACAAAAAACACGTCGAGCTACACGTTAACCCAAGGCAGTTCACCTGCCCTGTATGCGACTATGCAGCTTCTAAGAAATGTAATCTTCAGTATCACTTCAAATCGAAGCATCCTACTTGTCTTAATAAAACAATGGATGTTTCAAAAGTGAAACTAAAAAAAACTAAAAAGAGAGGGTCTGAATTGCCTGATGATATTGCCAGTGATGAAACAGAACCAGAGAAGACAAAAATAAAGGGAGATGTGACTGCAAAGAAACATGAGAAACCTGTAAAAGTAGAGAAAAAAGATAATGGCTCAAAAGAGAAAAAGACGTATAATGCCTCAGAAGTCCAAGTGACAGCCCGAACTCGCAAATCAGGATCGGAGACTAAAGAGATGGATGTCCATGTTGAAAATAATTCCGAAAAACCCTGTAAACTGAAGAAAAGCAAAAGGAAGGTGGAAGCTGATGCCCATTCCTTAAATGATCCTGGAAATGATGAAGAACCTGTGATAAAAAAGAAAAAGAAAATTGAGAGTAAATCTACAGCCAGTCAAGAAGTGCCAAAGGATGATAGCAAAGTGGAGGAGAATAAAAAGCAAAAAAC